ATACACTCATAACATTTTGTATTTTTGTATCAAACTGAATGAAGAACAAATTTCAAGAATATAAATTTGCACAATCTTGTAAATTATAATCATTTGTCTGTACAGTGGTTGAATAGATGATATTTCTTCATTACTTTTCAGCATTTATGACCCAGTGGATAATGCAGATAAATGTCCTAATGGATGAGGTTAGTCCAGGTTCAAAGTTCACTGTTTATGACCCAGTGGATAATGCAGATAAATGTCCTAATGGATGAGGTTAGTCCAGGTTCCAAGCTCACTGTTTATGACCCAGTGGATAATGCAGATAAATGTCCTAATGGATGAGGTTAGTCCAGGTTCCAAGCTCACTGTTTATGACCCAGTGGATATTGCAGATAAATATGCTAATGGAAGAGGTGAGTTGTTAGTCCGGGTTCCCAGGTTCACTGCAGACGGGTTGCCTCACAGCTGTGCCAGTGAAATTCCCACTAAAAAACATATCAGTCCCAGCAAAATCTTGAAGCTCACACATGCAACGTAAATGCATACGGCAGCCATCAGATGTGCCAACACTAACAGTATTGTAGCCCACAGTTGATGCAAGCAGTAAATCACACCCCCCCCCCCCCCCCAGCAGTTCACTCTGACATTTTGGGTCATTGCGTTTATTCTTTGCTTCCTGTATGGGCCCCAGTCACACTCTAGCAGGTTATTCATTAAAAAAAATACTGGAAAACCTCATCAACACAGACAGTTCACTCCAAAACAACTCAACAAAAACACTTACTCAAGGAATCGAGAAGTGCACTGGCCGCCTCATAGTAATGGTGAACATGCGTTAAGATTTTTTTACAAATGTCTTTAACAATGTGATTTGGCACGGCAGTGTTCACGTACGCTTGAGGAAGATTCAGCAGCCATGATTTGATATCTGGAATCTACAATTATTATATTGTTTGTAGTTAAATCTGATGGTTAATATGTTCATGGTAGGTAATTTTTCCAAATGTCCTGTTCAACCCTTAGGGTTATAATTGGGATTATATAGTGTTAATTGAGTTCTCAGAGTGTATATATTTGTTATTATTTATTATATTATTATTATATATTTGTTATTATTTGTGGTCAGAGCCTTTTGGGAACAAGTTACGAAGTCAGAAGAGAAACTAGATTATTATGGACTGGAGATAATGATTCACCTGGGTGTGACCAGAAGGTTCGACCTGCACACTACGCTCAGAGGAAAATAAAGACAGACATACAACCAGACCACAACTGGCACCATTGGTACTGAAAGGCTGCGCTGGCTGCTGAGGATAGTGACGGAGCGCGTATGGGAATGTCCCTATTGCTGTGATGTCAATTTTTTACTCAACTCAACTCAACACATATATTTGTTATTTTTAATTTATAGATATGTAGTTATTTATATGACCAAAATGTAATTTGTATTGTTTTACACATCTGCTTTGATTTGGGTTGGAGATTATGATAGAAATTGTATTATGAATAATTAGACAATCTTACTAACACTGTGTCGTTAACATGGTAGACATATTGTTTCCTTAGTGTGAAGTTACTGATGATTCTCCTGGAATTTTTCTTTAGGGGAAACTTCTTCAAAGATGTCATGGGCATCTATATATGGATTTTAGTTCTAGCAATAAACTGCTTGACCCTGACCTCATTCAATGGGTAGCAAATAATTGACATAATTAGCTAGAAGTAATCCACCCGGAATCAGCGATGAGGAAGGGAATTGTTCACCAGGTATCCAGGAATTCCTGAGAAAAAATGCACTATGGAAAAATAATTTTACAAAGTTCCTAATACATTTTAAAAAAAAAAACTAAACACAATTTAAAATTTGTTACAGAATTATATCTTCTTCTTCTTTTTGTTCTCGTTCAGAGGCTGTAAACTCCGGCGGAAATTTATGAATGTTCTGGACTTCCTCTTTGTTTCAGATCCTCAGTGTTCTGTGCACATCCATTTTTACAGACTGACTTATATATATGCAGACTCTTAGTTCCTTGCCTCTCAGGCAGATGCATTCAGACTTCGAAGGAAGCTCCCAATTAGTTGACTTGTACAACATGCTAGTTGGGGACGCAGTGGGTCTCCCTTCAAAACTCTGCAATTGCCTGTCATACAAGGGCATATTTTTTATTGTCTCCCTTCAAAAGTCTGCAATCGCCTGTCATACAATGGCACATTTTTTTTGTCTCCATTCAAAACTCTGCAATCGCATGTCATACAATTGACATTTTTAGCTGGAAGTAATCAAAACTCTGGATCAGCCTGTCATACAAGGGCACATTTTTTATTGTCTCCCTTCAAAACTCTGCAATCGCCTGTCATACAAACATTTTTTATGCACTATAGAAAAAATTTTGCAATCGCCTGTCATACAAGGGCACATTTTTTATTGTCTCCATTTAAAAGTTTGCAACTGCCTGTCATACAAGGGCACATTTTTTATTATCTCCATTTAAAAGTTTGCAACTGCCTGTCATACAAGGGCACATTTTTTATAGTCTCCCTTTAAAAGTTTGCAATCGCCTGCCATACAAGGGCACATTTTTTATCGTCTCCCCTTAAAAGTCTGCAATCGCTTGTCATACAGAACATGAGTGTTGTCTCCCTTCACAAAGTTTGCACGCCTGTTACAATGACACACTTTTTATTGTATATTCAGAAGTCTTAGTCGCCTTGCCTCATACAGGGCAGATTTTTTATTGACTTTAAAAAGCAAGTCATACAAGGGCACATTTTTTTGACTTGTCTCAACATGCAACTGCCTGTCATACAAGGGCACATTTTTTATAGTCTCCCTTTAAAAGTTTGCAATCGCCTGTCATACAAGGGCACATTTTTTATCGTCTCCCTTCAAAAGTCTGCAATCGCCTGTCATACAAGATCACATTTTTTATTGTCTCCCTTCAAAAGTTTGCAATCGCCTGTCATACAAGGGCACATTTTTTATTGTCTTCCTTTAAAAGTTTGCACTCGCCTGTCATACAAGGGCACATTTTTTATCGTCTCCCCTTAAAAGTCTGCAATCGTCTGTCATACAAGGGCACATTTTTTATTGTCTCCATTCAAAAGTCTGCAATCGCATGTCATACAAGGCACATTTTTTATTTTTATTTTGTCCCTTTCAAAGTAAGAACTGAAATATTTCCATCCATCAACAACTAATAAATAAGCAATTAGATGCTTGATCACAGGCCTGAGGGACTTAAAGTTCTTCTTCTACATTAGCCATGAAAGGGTAGTTGGCAGGTTGTTTACAGATAGACTGTGATACCTGTGCCCTTTTGTTCAACACATGCGATTTCAGCAAATGGTCTTGGGTTTTAACCCAATCTGAGACAGGTGTTCATAGTTAAAATTAGCTCCTGGGGTGATTCAGCCTAAAGTCCCCAGTCTGTCCTACAAACATCACATGGAGCAGACAGTGATCAAATACAAGCATGGCCTGGAGGCACTAAAAACGATGGTGGTGACACTCATGGAACAGAGATTATTGGTCTTATTGTTTACCATTTGGTCCTTTCAGTAACTGATTATGGCCTATAAATAATAACCCTATCTACTTCACAGTGTTTAAAGCTTTAGAGGATACCAAATTAAATAATGAGAATCATCTTGTGTTGCACACGAGATACCCCAATTTTAAAAATGAGGTACATGCTTGGGCTGACATCGGTAAACTTTAGACTGTTACTGGCGCAAGCCAAGGCCTATGTGCAAGTTACCAATGATGAAGGGCATCCGCTGCATGGTAATATGAAGGATTTAAGAGGAGACCGGCTTAAAAGAGGAAAGTCATGAATGGCACTTGCTGAAAATACCATCGAGACAGCGGCCTTGGTCAGTCAAATACACGGGGGGGGGGGGGTGTCCAATACGAACACCCACAGCAGTTTCCAACAAGTCATTATCAGGTTAGGAAGAGAATGTAGAGTGGTGTAATGGTATGGCAGAATTAGAAGTACAACAACTGATGGATGGAAAGGCTGGCCTAGATGATGCAGTAGTGTACACTGATGGTTCTGTTCATTGGGGTGTAAGATCTTGCTGGGAATTGAAAATAAAAATTATGGCAGAACAAAATAGAGCTTTTTATCTACAATATCAAGCCAGAGAATGGAAGTGGAGGCAATCACTGCAGCTCTGAAGTGGATAGCAGAAAAGAAAGTTACTAGAGGAATTATTGTGTCTGAGTCTCAGTCATCTGTGTGGATGAGGAATGCTTTATTTATTTTTCTCTTTCCATATTCTCCTAATTCTTCTCAGAAACCACACCTCTGCCTCAAGTGATGTTTGTCAGCTTCTTTGTGAACTCTTGCTGTGTTATATGCTTATAACAACACATGTTCTACATAGAACTTCAAGTGTTATTCAAATATAAAAACAAAAAATGTAACATTTTCCATAAATCACACAGAAAGACAACCTTTTGCATTGTGGAACAGATTTGCTCAACAAAGAAAAGCATGGCATCATCTAAGTCCTCCAGAGTCTCTTCATATTTCAGATATGTTCCAGCTCGGACCAGCTTGATGAACAGGTGAGGCAGCTCCAGATGATTCTCTGGTCTCAGCATAGTTTCATATCTCTGCAGGCAAGCAATTAGCATCTGCTGCACCTGCAACAACCATCAATAACAGCATGTCTCAGTCACAATATCAGTAAACACAGCAATCTCAACTTCACAGTTATGACATCAGTAGACAGTTATCTAAACTTCACAGTCACGACCTAAGTAGACACAGCAATCTCAACTTCAGTCATGACATCAGTAGACAGTTATCTAAACTTCACAGTCACGACCTAAGTAGGCACAGCAATCTCAACTTCACAGTCATGACACAAGTACAAACTGCAATCTCAAATTCACAGTCATGACATCAGTAGACACAGGAATCTCAACTTCACTCATGACATCAGTAGGCAAAGCAATCTCAACTTCACTACTGACATCAGTAGACACAGGAATCTCAACTTCACTAATGACATCAGTAGACACAGGAATCTCAACTTCACTAATGACATCAGTAGACACAGGAATCTCAACTTCACTTTTGACATCAGTAGACACAGCAATCTCAACTTCACTCATGACATCAGTAGACACGGCAATCTCAACTTCACTATTGACATCAGTAGACACAGGAATCTCAACTTCACTAATGACATCAGTAGACACAGCAATCTCAACTTCACTAATGACATCAGTAGACACAGCAATCTCAACTTCACTAATGACATCAGTAGACACAGCAATCTCAACTTCACTTTTGACATCAGTAGACACAGCAATCTCAACTTCACTTTTGACATCAGTAGACATAGCAATCTCAACTTCACTTTTGACATCAGTAGACACAGCAATCTCAACTTCACTTTTGACATCAGTAGACACAGGAATCTCAACTTCACTAATGACATCAGTAGACACAGCAATCTCAACTTCACTAATGACATCAGTAGACACAGCAATCTCAACTTCACTAATGACATCAGTAGACACAGCAATCTCAACTTCACTAATGACATCAGTAGACACAGGAATCTCAACTTCACTAATGACATCAGTAGACACAGGAATCTCAACTGCACAGTCATTAAGTCATTACATTAGTAGACATAGCAATCTCAACTTCAAAGTCATGACCTCAGTAGACACAGGAATCTCAACTTGACAGTCATTACATCAGTTGTAATGATGCTATAAATAGGGATAACGTCAGGGTATGACTGAGTGACAGAATTGGGGAAGTCCCTAATAGCATGGGTTTCATGGGGAGATAGTAAAAAGACAGAATTGAGCATCATGTGTGACTGTGAGATCTGGGGGATTGAAAATAAGGTAGGCATTCTGTGACTGGACCCCAGATTGGAAGGAAGTTAACCTGAATCCAGAGTGATAAGTATAAACGTGGATCTGAATGAGAATCGAGTGAACATCAGTCCTGAACGAAAAGGAGTGGAGCTGTATTTAATTACTGTTTAGGCCAGCAGTTGTGTTCTACGGCTTGTTGGTTATCCCAGTCGTGCATTCGCCAGTGTTCATCGTCTAAAGCGTGGCTGGAGACTAAGTGTGTGAGTAAGGTGAGATAGCCCAAATGACACAAGTGATTAGTTCGACTGTTGATTCTTATCGCTTGTGTTGTATTGACAATAAACTTGTAAAGTGCTGTCAACTGTCTTCGACTGTCATTTAAAAACGTGTGACAGTTTAAGAAAAGAAAAGTTTGGCTGGAAGGAAATGTTATATAACTCCTAGACAAGAGAGCTAGTGTTGAATCTGCATAAAAGAGATTAAGTGCGGAAAAGACATTACATCAGTAGACCCAGGAATCTCAACTTCACAGTTGACAGCAATCTTAACTTCACAGTCACGACATCAGTAGACACAGGAATATCCACAGTCATGACATCAGTAGACAAGAATCTTAGCATCACAGTCATGACATTAGTAGACACAGCAATCTCCACTTCACAGTCATGATATCAATAGACATAGCAATCTCAACTTCACAGTCATGATCCGAGTAGACCCAGGAGTCCTAAATATCTCCACATCTTCACCTCCGAGAGAATCAGACACATGACTACTCGACTTGCAGGCAATCCATTCTACCAAGGCTCCTTGTTCACTGTAAGCAATTTACCTGTATGCCAATCAATGTGGAGGTGCTAGAAAAGAATGATTCTGCATGCTCATCTGTTTCAAACTCCAGGGTCTTGTTGTAATGGATGAAAATGTTGATCAGTTTAGGATACCAGCTGAAATAATGACAATTTAGATCAGCTTTGGATAGCTAAAAAACAATGACAATATTGATCAGTTTAGGATACCAGAACAAACAATGACAATGTTGATCAGTTTAGGATGCCAGAACAAACAATGACAATGTTGATCAATTTAGGATACCAGAACAAACAATGACAATTTAGATCAGCTTAGGATACCAGAACAAACAATGACAATTTAGATCAGCTTAGGATACCAGAACAAACAATGACAATTTAGATCAGCTTAGGATACCAGAACAAACAATGACAATTTAGATCAGCTTAGGATACCAGAACAAACAATGACAATGGTGATCTGTTTAAGATACCAGCTAAAATATAGTTACAATGTGATCTGTTTAGGGTACCAGCTAAAATACAGTTACAATGTTGATCTGTTTAGAATACCAGCTAAAATATAGTTACAATGTTGATCTGTTTAGGGTACCAGCTAAAATATAGTTACAATGTTGATCTGTTTAGAATACCAGCTAAAATATAGTTACAATGTTGATCTGTTTAGGGTACCAGCTAAAATAGTAGATTTTAGTAAACCAGCTAAAATATAGTTGGATCAGTTTAGAATACCAGCTAAAATATAGTTACAATGTTGATCTGTTTAGAATACCAGCTAAAATATAGTTACAATGTTGATCTGTTTAGGATACCAGCTAAAATATGGTTACAATGTTGATCTGTTTAGAATACCAGCTAAAATATAGTTACAATGTTGATCTGTTTAGAATACCAGCTAAAATATAGTTACAATGTTGATCTGTTTAGGATACCAGCTATCGTTACAATGTTGATCTGTTTAGGATACCAGCTATCGCTACAATGTTGATCTGTTTAGGATACCAGCTATCGTTACAATGTTGATCTGTTTGGGATACCAGCTATCGTTACAATGTTGATCTGTTTAGGGTACCAGAAGTCAATGAATCTGTGTGTAGTTTACTGAATACTGTTTTAGTAGTTTTCTTTGTTTACGCTTCATACAGCAGCACTGATTTTACATTAGTTATACATGTTTAGGATCAGTTTTAATTTCCTTTGACTTCCACAAATTTCACAGTGCTAAGTCTCTCTTTACTAGCCCTTGAGTCTCTGATGCTAAACACCCTGTGACTGAAAGAGCTAAAACCAAAAATTTAAACATGTTTTTATTCTGCTAAAGTTGCTGATATTGTCACTGGCTGTTATTTGGGTTATTTTATTAGAAAAAGAACTTAATTTCCCCTCCCAAATCTGTTCTATCTTACATTGTTTTTGAAAGTTGAGAGCTCAGCTCTAAAATTGCACAGCTTGTCTGTCCCTTGTATGCCAGCAGTCAATGGTTCTTGTAAATAAGGAACCTTGTAGCTTTTATTATAAATACAGCAAGATTTGACAAGTTATACATGTGTTAGGAATTTAATTATTTGGGTCCCAAGGAACACATTATAGCCTTGTCTCTGATGGTACCCTGTGCATCATAACGTTCATAGATTCCTACTTAGAGGCCCAATGATACACATGATGTGCTGATTATACGTCTCTCTTGACAACTCCTTGGGCCTGTGATGCTAAACCCCCTGGGACTCAAAGAGTTAATTTGTAAGAAACAGATTATGGTCATATCTAAATTGAAAGAAATTGCACAAAGTACCTCACATAATATACAATACAAGATGGTACGAAGAAGACTAAAATACTTACAATTTCATCAAGGATTTCTCGTAGTGTCTCAAATCCTGCTGAATATTGGTTTTGAACTGTTCCAGAGTCAGAACACCTTTAGATCTGTGATGAAAACAATTTAAAACTTAAATTCAACACAACATTTGTTAGCTGCACATTATTTACAAAATGTTGCATAATCAGACACAACAGATGTTGAAAATTTGTGCCTTGTCCAGTCACTTTCCCCCCGTCTGTCATTGCTTGCTAAACGATATGTTCTCCATACCACTGTCAACATCAACGTTAGGTGATCAACATTAACGTCAGGTGATCTGCTGCCAAACTGCCTCTGAATGAAAACCAGGTATTTTAAAATTACTAACGGTACTTGTAACCATTAAGCTGCAGACCTGGCAGAACAAAGAGCCTTCACTGATTAACTGAACTCAAGAGCTGTCAGAGAAACATAGTCGTAAAATTCATGTATGTTTTTCATGATTAGAATTTATGTATGTTCTTCGTTATTTTGTAACACTGGTGTTGATAATGTCAGTGATAGAGTACAGGGCCTTTATCATGCCACTGGCACATCAGCATTTATAGCTTGATGCATTATTCCACTGACCAGTTAGCACTCAATAGGTAATGGTAATAACATGCCAACTACCAATACTTCCCAGGACATTTCCTGGTACCAATTTTAGGCTGGGTCAACTGGCAAGCCCATGTCATCTTGTTTCCTTCCAATCCTGCCCTCACAAGGGATTCAAACACATGACCTCTGAACAGACAGCCACCAAACTACTGCCACTATTACATCAAAGATTAAACTGAAATATGTGAAATAAAGCATCAACAATGATCTCTCACTGATTGTTACCTCAGTTACCAGAGAAATTATTGTGCCTGATTCTCCGTCGGCAATGCAGAAGGTTCAAAATGGACTAATGTGACATGAGTGGATACCATGCATCAGTACGCCAACATTGCAGGGAATCACATGAACTAATGTGGCATGAGTGGATACCAGCACACCAGTACGCCAACATTGCAAGGGAATCACATGAACTAATGTGGCGCATGAGTGGGATACCAGGCTCAGTACGGCCAAACATTGCAGGGAAATCACATGAACTAATGTGCATGAGGTGGATACCAGGCATCAGTGGGCCAACATTGCAGGTGATCACATTGAACTAATGTGGCAGGAGTGAATACCAGGCATCAGTACGCCAACATTGCAGGGAATCACATGAACTAATGTGGCATGAGTGGATACGAGGCATCAGTACGCCAACATTGCAGGGAATCACGTGAACTAATGTGACATGAGTGGATACCAGGCATCAGTACGCCAACATTGCAGGGAATCACATGAACTAATGTGACATGAGTGGATACCAGGCATCAGTACGCCAACATTGCAGGGAATCACATGAACTAATGTGGCATGAGTGGATACCAGGCATCAGTACGCCAACATTGCAGGGAATCACATGAACTAATGTGGCATGAGTGGATACCAGGCATCAGTACGCCAACATTGCAGGGAATCACATGAACTAATGTGGCATGAGTGGATACCAGGCATCATTACGCCAAACATTGCAGGGAATCACATGAACTAATGTGGCATGAGTGGATACCAGGCATCAGTGCCAGCAGGAATCACATGAACTAATGTGGCATGAGTGGATACCAGGCACCAGTACGCCAACATTGCAGAGAATGACATGAACTAATGTGGCATGAGTGGATACCAGGCACCAGTACGCCAACATTGCAGGGAATCACATGAACTAATGTGGCATGAGTGGATACCAGGCACCAGTACGCCAACATTGCAGGGAATCACATGAACTAATGTGGCATGAGTGGATACCAGGCACCAGTACGCCAACATTGCAGGGAATCACATGAACTAATGTGACATGAGTGGATACCAGGCACCAGTACACCAACATTGCAGGGAATCACATGAACTAATGTGGCATGAGTGGATACCAGGCATCAGTACGCCAACATTGCAGGTAATCACATGAACTAATGTGACATGAGTGGATACCAGGCATCAGTACGCCAACATTGCAGGGAATCACATGAACTAATGTGACATGAGTGGATACCAGGCATCAGTACGCCAACATTGCATGGAATCACATGAACTAATGTGACATGAGTGGATACCAGGCATCAGTACGCCAACATTGCAGGGAATCACATGAACTAATGTGGCATGAGTGGATACCAGGCATCAGTACGCCAACATTGCAGGGAATCACATGAACTAATGTGGCATGAGTGGATACCAGGCATCAGTACGCCAACATTGCAGGGAATCACATGAACTAATGTGGCATGAGTGGATACCAGGCACCAGTACGCCAACATTGCAGGGAATCACATGAACTAATGTGACATGAGTGGATACCAGGCATCAGTACGCCAACATTGCAGGGAATCACATGAACTAATGTGGCATGAGTGGATACCAGGCATCAGTACGCCAACATTGCAGGGAATCACATGAACTAATGTGGCATGAGTGGATACCAGGCACCAGAACGCCAACATTGCAGGGAATCACATGAACTAATGTGACATGAGTGGATACCAGGCATCAGTACACCAATATTGCAGGGAATCACATGAACTAATGTGGCATTCTGGGTGTTTTTCGCTGGCACAGGAGCGGAGCAAAGATGGGGGGACCCGTTTGCTATGAAGCTGAAACTAAAACTACCAGACTACCAATGTGGCATGAGTGGATACCAGGCATCAGTACGCCAACATTGCAGGGAATCACGTGAACTAATGTGGCATGAGTGGATACCAGGCATCAGTACGCCAACATTGCAGGGAATCACGTGAACTAATGTGGCATAAGTGGATACCAGGCATCAGTACGCCAACATTGCAGGGAATCACATGGATATACTGTCCGGGAGATGCAGGAGGGCGAGGGAATGACAGAGCGAATTTTCTGGCTACAAAAGTGAAAGCTACGGGAGCACTTGTACTGGACAAGGGAGATATTCTGAAGGCTATTTATGATTGACTGTTGACAGAAGACACAAGATTAGATAACATGTGCAAGAATGTGTGAAAGAAGAATTAAGTGTGGATCCGGCAAGGAGGGACGGATGAGAGGAAGAGAACGACATGTGTATAATCAGTGTGCTACGGGAACAGTTAGCATTTACACCTTAGGAAATTTACTGTGGAGACTGAGCATCTATGGGTATGTCCGGTGTGCTATGGTGTCGAATCTGTAATCAGTCTTACCTCACCCGTATGTGGAAACGTATAATCTAAGATTGTGTCTGGCCTAATCTGTATGTGGGGACCTATAACACAGTGTCTGACCATGCCTGTATGTGGATACATATAATCTGACACTGTCTGGCCTAACCTGTATGTTTATACGTATAATCCAATGCAATCATGTTCCTTCGCTTGAGGTAAGCTGCATGCCAAGGCCTCATAAAAGTCAGACCCCTGAAACACACTCAGTGACATTTATTCATATACTTCTTCAGTGTTTGTTTGGGGGGAGAGTTAAAGTTAATTACTTTCCTGTAAAGGATTTCGCAGACAAACTCCAGAATGCTCACTGTTTATGGTTTTACTAGGCAACTGTACAGGCAGAGAACAGAGCAGGAAGACACATACTACTAAGGCAGCTTTAGCACCACAATGCAAATTAGAAATAAAATATTTATTCGAGAGGCATCATTAGCACTATAACAAACTATGATGAAATACTTGACAGGCATCTTCAAAACTATAAAATATCATGATGAAATACTGGAGAGGCATAATTAGCACTATAACATACTATGAATGAATACTGGACAGGCATCTTCAGAACTATAAAATATCATGATGAAATACTGGAGAGGCATCATTAGCACTATAACATACTATGATGAAATACTCGACAGGCATCTTCAAAACTATAAAATATCATGATGAAATACTGGAGAGGCATCATTAGCACTATAACAAACTATGATGAAATACTTGACAGGCATCTTTAGAACTATCAAATATAATGATGAAATACTTAAAAGGCATCTTTAGCACAATAAAATAATATGATGAAATACTTAGAAGGCATCTTTAGCACAGTAAAATATGATGATGAAATACTTGAGAGGCATCTTTAGCACTTTAAAATATGATGAAATACTTGAGAGACATCTTAAGCACTTTAAATATGATGATGAAATACCTACTGGAGAGGCATCTTTAACACTATAAAATATGATGATGAAATACCTACTTGAGTGGCATCATAAGCCCTATAAAATTTGATTATGAAATGCCTCCTTGAGAGGCATCTTTAGCCGTATAAAATATGATGATGAATAACTTGCGAGGCATCTTTAGAACTATAAAATATCATGATGAAATACCTACTTGAGAGGCATCTTTAGCACTATAAAATATGATGATGAATAACTTGAGAGGCATCTTTAGCACTATAAAATATGATGATGAAATACCTACTTGAGAGGCATCTTTAGCACTTTAATATATGATGATGAAATACCTACTTGAGTGGCATCATAAGCCCTATAAAATTTGATGATGAAATACCTCCTTGAGAGACATCTTTAGCACTATAAAATATGATGATGAAATACCTACTCGAGAGGCATCTTTAGCACTATAAAATATGATGATGAAAAACTTGAGTGGCATCTTAAGCCCTATAAAATATGATAATGAAAAACTTAAGAGGCATCTTTAGCACTATAAAATATGATGAAAAACTTGAGAGGCATCTTTAGCACTATAAAATATATGATGAATAACTTGAGTGGCATCTTTAGCACTATAAAATACCATGATAAAATTCATACTTAATGATTAAATACTTGCGAGGCATCTTTAGCACTATAGGATGAAGAAATACTTAAGAGGCATCTTTAGAACTATAAAATATCAGACAAATACTAGAGAGGCATTTTTAGCACTTTAAAATCTAATACTGAAATACATATTATAAAGGCATCTTTAGCACTATAAAATATCATGATGAAATGTTGGAGTAGCATCTTTAGCACTATAAAATATCATGATGAAATGTTGGAGTAGCATCTTTAGCACTATAAAATATCATGATGAAATGTTGGAGTAGCATCTTTAGCACTATAAAATATCAGACAAAATACTAGCAAATACTTGAGTAACATCTTTAGCACTATAAAATATCATGATGAAATGTTGGAGTAGCATCTTTAGCACTATAAAATATCAGACAAAATACTAGCAAATACTTGAGTAGCATCTTTAGCACTATAAAATATCATGATGAAATGTTGGAGTAGCATCTTTAGCACTATAAAATATCATGATGAAATGTTGGAGTAGCATCTTTAGCACTATAAAATATCATGATGAAATGTTGGAGTAGCATCTTTAGCACTATAAAATATCATGATGAAATGTTGGAGTAGCATCTTTAGCACTATAAAATATCATGATGAAATGTTGGAGTAGCATCTTTAGCACTATAAAATATCAGACAAAATACTAGCAAATACTTGAGTAACATCTTTAGCACTATAAAATATCATGATGAAATGTTGGAGTAGCATCTTTAGCACTATAAAATATCAGACAAAATACTAGCAAATACTTGAGTAGCATCTTTAGCACTATAAAATATCATGATGAAATGTTGGAGTAGCATCTTTAGCACTATAAAATATCATGATGAAATGTTGGAGTAGCATCTTTAGCACTATAAAATATCAGACAAAATACTAGAGTAGCATCTTTAACACTAAATAAAAAATATCAGACAAAATATTAGAGAGG